GTCTTGGCAGTGTTCCGTCCTGTGGTACACAGGCCGGCTATGAGTCGGAACTGACCCAACACCTAATAACAAGTTTTCAGTCTGTTGCCTGACCAAGAGCCCTTGCCAGCACCCCCAAACCATGTGAGCCAACCATCTATATAAACACAAACCAATCGATACATCTGGTTCTGTTTCTCTGGATATGCTGATGACATACAGTCACCTAAACCTGCCCGGTTTACTCAAACGATTTCCCTAACTCTTCAGACTTCATCTCATGTGTATCTATGCTAGTGCAGTAACGTACCGTTCCCATCTAAATCATACTGCATACTGCCAAGTTTATTTTCTTTTTAGAGAACATTATGCATCCCTTCCTTTACTCAAAACCATCCAAAGATTTCTCATTTTTCTACAGGTTGAAATTAAGACAGAATCCACTCAACAGAAGCTGGTTTCAGACTAAAATATATCCACTTCAAAATAGGACTATCTGGATAGATGGCTCCAGGTTTTTTTCACACAAACACTCTGTTCTAGGATTAAGACTCTTCTCTTTGTTTTCTTCCACTCACTCCAAGCACACCATGCTAAATCTATCCACTCATCCAAATTCTGCATGGCAAACAATACTTACTGCACATTTCCTGTGCTCCAAGCACACAGCCATCATCACCCCCTTTTCCAGCTCTTTAGCTTGAAAGAGGCTCCCTAGTCAATCTCTTCTAGTTGGCATGCAGCTGGTCTGAGAGAGGCCCATTTGACTCATCCTTTCAAATCATATTGAAATGACTGATATAAGGGAAATGAGTGCCAGTCAAGGCTATGGCTGAAGAATGAGACCAGACCTTCACTCAGCAAAATTCCCAATGTCAATGTGCCAAGCACTAGGGTGGGTCCTGTCCTCATGGGACATGGCTGTGCATGTGTATATATTGGTTTGGGTAGCAGGCAGTAATCAACACCAAACACATGAGTACAGAATCACTTTAGGCTCTGACAAGCAGTTTGAAGAATGTAATAATACAAGTTCCATGTGCTAGTACATCAACATAAAGGGCCCGTTTTAGAGGGATGGGCAGGAAGGGCAGTTCTGAGATTTAACTGATGAGGACTCAGCTTCATCATGTGATTATAGAGGTAAGAAGCGCTTCAGTTTGGACCCTGCGTGGCCATGCTGTAGCCCAAATCCGGATTTGCTTTTCTCTAACCTTTGCCTCCTTTTCTCTAGTAAACCTTTGCTCTTCTCTAATAAACTTTTGCTTTGTTACTTTACAGCTGCTTGTAGGTCAGTGGTCTTTTGTTGGGCGCGACTCCGTAACATTTGGAGGCCCCAGCGAGATCAGCCCACCATCGCTGACCTGCATCTGGTGGTCCGGACCCTACTGCCTGTTTCCTGCACGGCGCCGGTTAATGACACCCCGAAGAGAGGGGCTATTTGTTTATATTTTCACAGGCAAAGGAGATAGGTGGATTTCTCTACAGCCAGCAAGGTCCAGAAGAAAGGAGGGACGCCCATGCTGTTGACGTGACCCTGTCCTGCTACTGAAGTTATCCAAAACGTCAAGAAGACCTCGCAGATTCTAGAAGAATGGCGATTGCTGACTGCAGAGATAGTTCTTCCATTGCGGATGCCGTCTAAGAGAACCTCTACAACCCTATCTCCTTTTCCTAAGCCTAAAAAGGTGCTCCCCTCCAGAACCAATAGTTTATAGAACCATAGAAGGAGAAATTTTAGAAGAGATTTTACAATGGAGTCGAGGGTTTGCTCTTATCTCCACAGATTCTGGAGCTGAGTGGTTGTCAACGCGACTTCTAAAACAGAGAGATGGCTAAGAAGTCCCGCACTCAAAAGTTTCTGCAAGAGTTTAAAAATGTTCTTTTCCTTTTGCTGAAAAAGACAAAAATATCAATAATTATAGCTTGGGGGTAAAAGGATTCCCTATTTTCCCAAGATATAATTCTCATTGTTTATCTTATTCCCATGAGGTTTGAGGAGTGAGGTATAATCATTATTTTTCAGCAACTACGGTTCTTATTTCTGTAAGAGGCTTTGGGGGGGAAGGTCGGTAATATTTCCAAGGCCACTTCTACCCTGTTATCTATTTGCCCACTTCCTAATGTAAATCCTGAAATGCAATAATTGGTATAAAACGGCCTAAGATATTGTTAAATCATACAGACTTTAAGATAGTGGATTGGGCCCTCTCATAATATTACTATTACTCATTTCATTAGGACCGGTGCTGTTTAACAAAGTCATGGCATTTTTAAAACAGCAAATTGAAGCTGTTCTAGCAAAGCCTATTCAAGTGCATTACCATCGTTTGAAAATGTTAGACAAGGGTGGCCCACTCCCCAACTCGCCTGAGTGATAAGACCCCCTTCCTTTGTGTGCTGCGCTGGGCAGTCAATGACGGGTAAAATCAAGCACTGTTCATACCAACCTAAGACAGGCCCTGGTTTGCCAGAATGTAATTAAAGGCATTCCTCGAGACCCATGACGGGTAAGGATGAATCAGTGACCTGACAACCTAAGACAGACGCAGTCCCCTAAAGGATATTCCAAACTTCATTGCACGAATACTTTGTGCTCGCTATTATACAAAAAAGGTGCACATGTGGTAGTCTGCACGTCCCTCAGCCCATGGCCTCCTCCGCCTCCGCTGTTGGGTTCGGAAGAGGAGCGCTTGGACATTCTATCACCACCACCAATGATTTGGCTGCCTGCCTCCAAGAAGCTATAGACGTCTCCGCAGAGTCTCTGGCGTCTCTACGACAGATTACCCCCATAGCCCAAGTCGCTCTACAAAACCGACGTGCACTGAACCTCATCACAGCAGAAAAAGGAGGCACTTGCTTATCCTGCAGGAAAAATGTTATTATATCAATGAATCTAAATTGGTTGAAAATCGTGTTAAAAACAAAAACAAAAAAACTTAATGACATCAGTAGGGAGAAGAATGTGAGGAAGGGGCGGGAAGTATCCAGTAAGGGCCAGGAGAGAAGGGGAGGGGAAAGTAAAATAGCAGGTGTGTGACCACATGGAGTTGGGTGTGAGAGGGAAGGTATAAAAAAAAAAAAAGGCTCAAGGTTGGGGAAATGTCTAGAACAGAAGTAAACTGAGCAGGATCTCAGGTTTGTGTTGGGGGAGGTGGGTCTGTGCAAACTGAAAGGTACAAGGTAACTAGAAGTGAGTGGAGTTGGGGTGACTGCTCGGCTTGAGTAGAACGGCAGGAAATGTATGGCATTAGAAAAAGCATGTTGTTTTTATGTCAATCATTCTGGTGTAATTAAAAAAAGTCTAAGTCAACTCCGAAAACAACTGCAAGACAGAGAAAAGGCCTTAACCAGCCAAGAAAACTGAAATTGTTAGGGAGACCCAAGCGAAATTAAAGAATGAGTTAAAGTTTGTGTATGCTCCCCAAAACCAGGAAAGAAAGATAAAAAAACGTGATGAGGATGGTATGAGGAATGTGATAAGAAAAGGAATGTGATAAGGAATGTGATAAGGTTTTGATGATGATGATGTGATGAAGAAGGTGACAAGGAATTTGAAATTGTTCTGAGTAATAAAAAAGTTGCAATTGTTCTAGGTGATAAGGAAGTTAAAATTGTTCCAGGTTTGCAATAAAAACAGAAGGCAGGATCACTCTGGTGTGATTAGAGAAAGTATGAGCCAGCTCAGAAAACCGCTTACAAGATATTAAATTAATGGTCCTTAGAACTAAGTATCAAGCCCTAGCAGAAATAGAAACTGAAGAATCAACGATTTGATTCAGTTACTAGAAGAGGAGGGAATGTTAAGGCTCAATAGAATAAAAGAGCTTGACTTAAGCTACCCCATTTTGAAGAGTCTAAAGGTCATCCCCCCCTCCCCCAAGAAGAGACTGTTGTTTTTGGAAAAATAAGTCGTAAAAGTAAAACTATGTTATCTCTATCAGATGAAAAACAAGTCGTAAAAGTAAGCCACTGTGACCTTACAAACTGCCGCTCTTAATGTCAGCCAAAAAGTTTTACAAGCGCACCTCGACCAAGATAAGCCGGGCAGGCTAAACTGCCCCCATCCTGTTATCTTGTGCAGACACCCTTCCCCATTCCTTACACACACACACCCCTCTCCTCACTGGTTTTAAGTGCATAAAAGGACAAAGAGATTCTTGCCGCTTGCTTCAGTTTGGACCCTGCGTGGCCATGCTGTAGCCCAAATCCGGATTTGCTTTTCTCTAACCTTTGCCTCCTTTTCTCTAGTAAACCTATGCTCTTCTCTAATAAACTCTTGCTTTGTTACTTTAAAAAATAAAAAAAAAAAGAAGAAGCATTAACAAGCACACCGTTGAAAGCATTAACAAGCCAAAGAGCCCTACATTTTATCTGAGGTTCAAAGACTGTCGCGATCACACTTTGAGAAGCAACACTCCCCAATATTAACAAGTCAACCCGACGAGCGCGCTAAGCTTGCACACGAAACAGCTGAAATACTACACTGTCTACATAAAACACTAAGTGACGGGCAGTTTTGAGAGCCCTTGTGCTTGACGAGGGCACTCCAGTCCAGGAGCCTCTTCTGCCACGAGTTCAGAACTCTTCTGGGAGCTGCTGAAGGGTCATCCATCAGAGAGAGCATTATTATAAGGATACGAAAGATCCAGTTCTTTTTTCTGACCGAGAAGCGGCAGCAAGCAGATTCCTCCGTACACTAACATGACTGAGATGGGGTTCAACAAGATCTAGAAATTCTGGGGCTGGGGTATACTAATACACCGCTCGTGGCGGGGAGAGCAACACCGGGCACCGGCACCAGCCAAGTCCTGGGGAAAAGAGAGTCTTCACTGGCTAAAAGACACTAAGCTAATCTTCTCATCGGCCAACGGGCATACCAACGAGCCCATTTCTCAAGGGAAGGGAAGCTTCAGCGGGGAGCGGAAAAGAACTTTAAAAGCCGCCCGGAACGGGACGGTCCGGAGCCGCTGAAACTACTGCTCGCGGGGGAGCGCCGGGCGCCGCGGGCACCGTACCTTCACCAGCCACACGCCCGTGTTCTGCTTGGCGCCGGTCAGATCGAGTTCGCCGCGCTCAGCCATGGCTCTGTCGCCGCGGCGGGTCTGTGCGGAGCCTGTGGGGTCGCGGCGCTGAGCAGAAGGCAAGACGCGGCGTTCGCAGAAGTCGGCGTGGCCCACCCACCAGGAAGCCGGAAGTCTCGGGAAACAGGAACACGCCGGCGGAGCCCGGAACTGCGCCTGCGCGCTGCGCCGTCCGTACGGCGCTCTGCTGGGGACAAACTTCCTGGCTCCGCCTCGCCCCGGCGGGTGTGGCTGCCTGAGCCAGTCAGACAGAATGGAACAAATCGGCCGTCAGCGACACATCAAAGACGGAAAAACAGAACGCCGCGATCAGATTGGATCGGTTCTGACTCACAGTGACCCGACAGGACAGAGAAGCCCCACTGGGTTTCCAGAGCTGTACACCTTCCTTGAGACAGATGCCTGCACGTCCTGCGCAGAGCACCTGGAAGGACATTTTCAGGTAGCAGCCCGACGACAACTCCACTGTGCCATTGAGACACCTTCCATTTAAGACGAATCAGCATAGCTAAGGAAGACAGACAAACCCACTGCTGCCGAGTGGGCTGCGACCATAGCAACCCTCATAGGACAGGGTAGGGTTTCTGAACGGGGAGGCTTTCTACTCCTGCCTGGGGAACTCACAGGGGCAGTGCACTGTCGCCTGCAATCGCTATGAGTCAGAACTGACTCGATGGCAGTGAGAGGGTTTCTGAGACTCAAGCTTGACTGAAGCAGACTGCCCCATCTTTGTTCCAATAAGCGCCACCTGGGCTCCAACAGGTGACCTTCTGTTTAAGAGTGGAGTGTGTAACCTACTAAACTACCAGAGATCCCTTTCAAAAACTCACTAAACTCATTGCCATCTAGGGGATTCCAACTCACCAACCAGATCAAACAGAGAACTGCCCCCTCTGGGTTTCTGAGGTGGTAAATCGTTATGGGAGCACAAAGCTTCATCTTTCCCCTAATTGGGTGTGCAAAAGAGAGCCCAATCTCACATATAATTTAAGGAAGACAGTAATTGTTACCAGGGAATAATGTAACACAAAGACAGGCACATCATACAGATAAGGGAGGCTATTAGCACTATGAGATAATGGTATCCATGTATTCACAGTCAGGACACCAGTTAAATGAAGCATGGAACAAAGGAAATTCCAAAATTCATGATTGATGGCAGATCAATACATCAGTTACAGGTAGAACTACAGAAGTGCAAACAGGACCATGATTGAGACACCTCTACTGTTTCAGATAGACTCACCACTTAAATGATTGGTCAAGCCACAACTGATAGGGCATGATTCATGACTATGCAACCTCCTGTATTTCCCCTAGAGCAGTGATCTCCATCAATGACAGACTCAGGCAAACCCCTAAAACAGACTGCCCCTGTCTGGGCTGGCTGGAGAAGGGTGGAGATAATCCACTTTTCAATGCACTGTGACTGAGGGCAGGATTAGCTACATTGTTGGTTAATAGAAGGAATTCAATGGAGCCTTAATCCACTGGGATACTGCAAAAGGATTTGGGGCTTCCACTGTCCATAGCCTTCTGTAAACAGGATGCTCAGAATTTAAGTAATAATACAACTCTCTCCCCCTCTGATCATGGATTATATGATTAATATTTTGATCATACCAGCTGGAGTGCTACTTAGCTCACACTTTATAAAGATGGCTGCTTGTTTCAAAACAAGCCATTAAGTCCCCAGATGATATTTTTCCCAATAGCCTGGCACCATATAATTTCTTCACGAGAATTTGCTACTATACCCTATCTTCAGTGGTCACTTCATGAAGGTGACTACTGAGCAGAGCCAGATCATTAAGAACTAATTGTTCATTGATTAGGACTTAGATTTAGTGCAAGCTCAATATATATGTATGGTCCACTTTGGAGGCAGTATTATCAGTTTGAAAAATAATACTAATAATCTCCATGGCACATTTGGTAATTCTAAGAATAACCTAAGGTTAATTCCATTAACCTAGGCAATAGAGTAGAACTTAAAATACTAGTTAAAAGAATATACATATGCCCGGCTATCAAAAAGTATAGTGTCTGGGGTCTTAAAGGCTTGAAGGTAATCAAGCAGCTATCAAGCTCAGAAGCAACAAAACCCACATGGAAGAAGCACACCAGCCTATGCAACCACGAGGGTCAAAAGGGATCAAATATAAGGCATCATCAGAACAAAAAATCTTACCATAGTGAATGGATGGGGGGAGTATGGAGTGGAGACCCAAAGCCCATTAGTAGGCCACTAGAGATCCCCTTGCAGAAGGGTCTCGGGGAGGAGATGAGCCAGTCAGGGTGCGATGTAACAAAGATGAAAAATACAACTTTTAGGCCACTGGAGATCCCCTTGCAGAGTGGTCTCGGGGAGGAGGCGAGCCAGATAGGGTGCAATGTAGCAACGATGAAAAATATAACTTTCCTCTAGTTCCTAAATGCTTCCTCCACCCCCACTATCATGA